CTAACCCGGGTCTTCACGAATTCTTCTAGAATGGACACGACTACATCCAGGTACTGATAAATGGGAACACCAGGGGAGAACTCAGTGAAGCCGACCCTCCCTGTCGATAACATCTATAAAAAGGTCAAGGTCCTTTGACAAATGGCCCCAGGAACATCAGCCCGAGGCAGAGTGAAAATAGTGAATCTAATTAGCCAGTAAGGAAACTGTCAACACATCGTGAGTCGTGGGTGTTCATCAATCTTACTTAACTGAAGAATATACTAACGAGACAGCTCACTAAGCTAATGATACGAACAAAAATAAGATTAATGATTATGATGCTGCTGATGGTGATGATAACAAATAGTATTTGTTTGTCGATTTGTAAATTGGCCATACAGTATTGCAGCTCCGTGAGAGGACCTGTAAAACATCGAGAGTGAACCTGGTAATTTTGATGATTGGTATAATGTGTAATGAGACACTCGATCGGGGTGTCAGGGTGTCAGGGTGTTGAGGTGTCTGGATGACGGGGTGTTGGGGTGTCGGGGTTGAGGGCGGGCGCGACAAACAATCAAACACGTCACTAAACCTGACACTACCAAATCTATTCTTACGATCAGCATGGGTTCCTATAATACATCATACACAAACAGACAGCAGCAATCAAGAAGATGATGATGGTGATGATGGTTTTGGGCATATGCTTTGTACATGATGCCATCAATCAAATGTACATTGAAGAATATGGAGATATTACAAAATATATACAGGGCCCTTATTCTCGAAAGGTTCGTAACCCTAAGAATTCTTAACTTTGATCGTAGCCCATGTGTTAAGAATGGGCTTAAGAAGTTCGTAGGGCTACGAACGTTTCGAGAATAGCTAGCCTGGTTTGTTATGTAAATTAGTCTTGTCTGAATCTAGCTGTACAACATACATCTATATTGTTGTGATATTTACTTATCACTCTATTCCGTTTCTTCAGCTATACTATGGATGTCTAGTGTAATAAGTTGCAGTGTTGATTAAATATGACAAAATGAATTTGATTGAATATAGGCCGTTTCAACGAGACATATATTTTATCCTTGAACACAAACCTACAGCCTTGTGTATTATATGACACGAACCCTGATATATTCATCTCTATTACTGCTGCTGAAGCCGTCAGACATCATACCCAGTGATTGTTGCTGCTGCAGTGAATGTAATTACACCGAGACCGCCATCAGTACCATGGACCCAGGCCGGCCATAAACCGGTATTTTAGTAGAGAATGCTACAGGCTTAGATCCATTTATGTGTTCTCAACCAGTGTTTGCCGCCTCAGATGAAAACGTGCAAGGGGTGGTAGTCAAAGCGTGCTGTGTTGCAAATGAATCAACTCTATACTGCCATGTAAACAGACATTAAATCTATTAATTGTCGTGTAAAACATCAGGTTTCATTTGCTATTGCATCCTACGATAATGACACGGCTCAAGAACTTGAACACGTCTTAACCATCAGTAAACGCATTATTATAACACGAAGGAGATTGTGGAATTGTAAAAACTCTAAGAAGAGCTCTTAAGTTGGCAAAAATATTACGCTTCTACGGTTGTCAATCATTTTAATGATACTGATGAGGCTGATACTGACGAGCATGAGAATGTTGTGCACGTATGTTGTAGAATTAGTTTCGTGGCATTTCGGACGGAGTGGGTGGAGTGATGTCGGTGTTCTCTAATGTGATCAGTGTCATTGCGGTACGTGCATCCCCCACCATATTACCCTGGTAGCAGCACTGTTTAAACAGCTGCTGCACTTGTGTTTTGTGCTAGTAGTTCTGGTACAAAGAAGGTTTGACAAACTATAGTTTATTTCAAGATTCCTTTACTTCCGTTAAATGAACAAGGCTGAAGGTAGTATGCCAGTACACCATATTGTCAGTATGCACGAGGTATGTAATTATCTAAGCTCGGGGTAATTCATATATTAACATTTCTTTTATTATTTTCCATTTAATTACAACTTTGACCGGGGTGATTTACGTCGCCGACAGCGAGGTACACAGTGATGAGGCCATAAAGCGCTGTTAACAGCTATGGCATCGCAAATCCTTACACGGATGCCTGGCGCCCAAAGTCGGGGTTCATCGAGACGTCGCTGTTCAGAGTTCCAGCACCACATGTCGCTGTACAGTAAAAGCATCTCAATTCTCTGTACAGAGTAGGGGGCACTGCAACCGCCGTACAGAGTTCCGGCACCTCAAGTCGCTGTACAAAGTTCCTGCACCTCAGGTGGCTGTACAGAGTTATCACCCCGCAAGTCGTTATGCAAATTTACGGCACCGCAAACCGCTATATAAATTTCCAGCACCGCAAACCGGTATACAGATTTACGGCGTCCAAAGTGAGCGTTCATAGATATAGCGTTGATAGTCAGTGTACGGAGAAAAACGACACCGCATGTCGGTGTTCAGTGATACAACAATGCCACTCGCTGTGAATCCCTGTACAGAGTTACAGTCCCGGAAGTGCCTGTACTGTAACAGTCCCGGAAGTGTCTGTACAGTTACAGTCCCGGAAGTGCCTGTACAGTTACAGTCCCGGAAGTGCTTGAACAGTTACAGTCTCTGAAGTATCTGTATAGGTACAGTTCCGGAAGTGCCTGTACAGAGTTACAGTCCCGGAAGTGCCGGTACAGTTACAGTCCCGGAAGTATCTGTATAGGTACAGTCCCGGAAGTGCCTGTACAATTACAGTCCCGGAAGTGCCTTTACAGAGTTACAGTCCCGGAAGTGCCTGTACAGTTACAGTCCCGGAAGTATCTGTATAGGTACAGTTCCGGAAGTGCCTGTACAGTTACAGTCCCGGAAGTATCTGTATAGGAACAGTCCCGGAAGTGCCTGTACAGTTACAGTCCCGGAAGTATCTGTCTAGGTACAGTTCCGGAAGTGCCTGTACAGAGTTACAACTATAATACCAGATGCCCCTATCCTGGATTCGTATTCCAGATATAATATTTAGCATATCGGAAACATCTTCCATCATACAGTTTCGACATTTAATGATCTCCCCCTACCTTCACCCAACACATTGATATAATACCATACAAACACAGTCTCTCACACATTTCATCAACCACCACCATTAGATGTGTTGGTTGTAGCATGAGAGAATCACAATCACGGACGGGAAACACGTGACCCAGCCGTGTCCTAATATAGACTGGCGCATTATTCGTGCCCAGCAATCTCAACACGGGCACCCAACTGTGTTCCTTTGCATTGAATTTCGTATATTCGTCTTGGATTAATAACATAAAGGATGTCATTGAACACCTGACGACAGTCACGAGGTGTTATAGGAGGAGATTTCTGATTGGCTCTAACTCCCCGAGGCAAGGGTATTATTTTCCAATGTCCGAGTCCCATGGGGCGCGAAGCTATCAGTATCACGCAGGATTGCGTTTTCAGTTGGAATGAAAAAGGAGAAATACTACAAATAGCTAACATTATCGTAATTGATTTCGTTGATTTCTATAGACTAGGGTGTGTTGTGAGAAAAAACAAACCACCAGTCGAATTATGAAATACTCGCTATACGTTTCGATACAATGAATCTCATCTCAACTATATCAACACACAAGTAATGTGTGATCGCAGGTACAAAATATCAGTTAGCTGATGTGGGTGTATATATTGTCCAGTGATGACAACCTCCAGATGCAAATGTCCACTTGAAGTGCAATGTCATTTTTGTCATGCCAAGCGTCTCAACCCATTTGCATTAAATATATTGAGCTTTGCTTGTGAGTTACATAATATCATACGGTTGCCGATCGTATTTATAATGGATGCGATGTCTCTTTTGCTGACGTTACTGCACGAAGTCGTTAGATGTCGCCAGTAATTGTCAGTGACCTCAAGTGACCTCAAGTGACCTCAAGTGACCTCCAGTAGCATGTGTTTCCAATCAACACATGGATTCTTCACCTGCACCCTGATCTTAAAATGATTAACCTCTGATACAAATCTTAAAAGGCTAACGTTTCTAAGACGAATTTCTTTTCTTTCATGTTGCTTGGACTAGATGCATGACCTGACGCATGTATGAGACACACACACATTATGGTACACTGGAATACAACGGAAGCTGGGCTCCATAGTCCTAATCTTGTATCCTCAATATGTTATCTATTGATTTGTATATTAATTCGATTCCAGTGATTGTAACACAATGAGCTTGTTTAGGCTCATGGGCATTAAATCTACGATACTAATCAGTTAAGAGCTCAAAAGCAGCACATTATTAATGAGTTCATGACCCTGTGTCCTGTCTCTCGGTAAAGCAGGTAAACAAATATGTGTACCGTTACAGACGCTGTTAGCAGATGAACATAACGTGGTTACTGAAGCCTACTGATTGTGTAGATCAACAGCTTCTGGTCGGTGTTCTCACCTGAGACCAGATCGATAATACCGAACTAAAAGAACTGTGTGTTATATACTGTCTCATGTATGCTAAAACTACGTATATACGCTGTGGAACCGCAAGACACAACACTCCCGCAAAATATATGTTACCTTGTCTATGGTAACCAACCCGTGAAGTGTTACCAAGTCTATGGTAACCTACCCGTTACAGTGTTACCAAGTCTATGGTAACCTACCCGTTAAAGTGTTACCAAGTCTATGGTAATCTACCCGTCAGGCGTTACCCGTCTTATGGTAACCTACCTGTGAGGTATTACCCAATCTGTTATAACCTACCCGTGTTACCACGTCTATGGTAACCTAACCGTAAGCTGTTAACCGTAAGCTGTTACCCGTCGTGTCTTTATTAGTAACCTACCTGCCAAGTGTTACCAAGTCTATATTAGTAACCTCCCTGCCAAGTGTTACCAAGTCTATATTAGTAACCTACCTGCCAAATGTTACCAAGTCTATATTAGTAACCTACCTGCCAAGTGTTACCTATACTATATAAGTAACCTTCCCGACAGTCGTTACCCGTCGTGTGGTAACCTACCTGTGAGGTGTGAGCCGGTCTTGGTGCTGGACCACAGGCAGGCTGCGATGCTGACGTAAGTATACGCCATGATGACGACCGGCACCAGATAGAAGGTGACGAAAATAAATATGTCGTAGTTGAGAGCAAGGGTGTTCATGGATTTATCCGGTGTACACGACGTCAACAGCAACGTCAGATTCTGCGGAATCATCTCATCCGGCGTCTCTTTGAACAGCAGCAATCGCGGAACCGCCAACGTATGAGCCAGCATCCAGATGACGACGATGGAAATGACCACACGACGTTTCGTCTCCTTGAACGTCAGAGGGTGGCAGATGGCGAACCAGCGTTCAATGGAGATCGCCGTCAACGTCAGGACAGACACGATGATCGTCACCGTCTGTAACAAGCATAATCTACATATTACCTTTACTGTGTTGGTAAAAATACAACTTGAATAGAGAATAGCCTTTGTTTGACACAAATCCAGTTATGCATGAATACCTATTTGTAACTGTTTACGGTTATAATTATCTATCCTGAAATTGCACCAAATGGACAACAAAAGTAGAATGTGTATTGTATGTGGCGACAAAGTCGATTTTGAGGTCAGATATTTGACGTCATGGTATTCCGAAAGTTTGGGGCGTTACACGTTATATCAATCACCTGTTCTCATCAGTGCTCCACAGTTTACACATTACATCATGTAAAAAGAATACAACAGTGTTAAACAGAAATAACAAAACAACTAGTGTCATAAACCACATTCTATACACCAAATTAAGTGATTGGATTTTGCTGCCCACTCTTTTCGACGACTCATAATACTGGCAGATTAAAGTGTGTTGTAGGATGTCATGCCGGGTTGGGGAATCGATCAAGGGTGTGCGCCATGATGAGCGAGTGCAGTAACTACCGGACCACCCTACCGCCAGTGTACCAGCAGGGATTATGTCGTGTATGTGTGTTTAATGTGAAATATTCTGATGTCAAAGCAGAAAAGAGAAGGTTATCGGTTGTTTCACATCCACATAAATGGCAAAGCTTAAAAAACGAAAATGTGTTTTGAACATTACAGACAATTTGATATCAGTGTAACTATATATTGAGGTCTCTGGAGACTATCAAAGTAATAATCCTAAACACGGCGACGAGAAACACGGTAGAAAATCCATAAAAGGACAAAGTTGTGAATTATAGAGAAAAATCGAAACCCACATCGCGTGTAATGGTTGCTAAATGTTCACTGCAATCTGACACACAGCACAACGACTCATCACGGGGGGGCGGTTTAATATCGCAAACAAAGAAACCCAACATTAAAGTATTATTATAATCACTGATGGAAACTACAGGAAATACGTGTAGTCAAATGTTGCTGACTTGGACTTGGACTTGGACTTGGACTTCATTGTCTAAACCTACCACAAGGACATAGCTTCCCTCACTAAACGTACTCTCTCATGTTACTAATAGGTTGGATCTATCAGAAATGTGACGATAAAAACCTAAGCCCAGCAAATTAATAAGACTGACTGAGACAGGGTTTCAACAGCTCCACAGAATATACCTGGAGTGGACGCGATCACAAAGGTCACCAAAGTGATATTTTAATGGGATCCTACAAAAGTCATTCCAGGTTTTTTAAAGCGTCACAAACATATATGTGACATCACAATGTGTGACTTGTGTGTGATTAACGTGACATGTGAATTGGAGTTGCCGATGTGTGAACACCGCAGTATGGGACGCTCGCCTAAGAGATCAAAGGCGCCGACTGTGTTTATACTGCGATAAAATACATTATACTTTTTTCAGCAAATGCTTCAATGGACTCAGGGAGATGTTGAAATTACCTCCCCTGTAACCTGATTGATCTTTGGTAACATTGTTGTATTGATGGTCCCTCGCGAAGGCGCAACAAGAACATTTAGCAACAAGAACATTTAGCAACAAGACCATTTAGCAGCAGGTATAACGGCTTTCTTAATACCAGTCGAATGATTTATGAATATTTACAGGGAAGCAATATGTCAAAACGATGTAAACCGTCTCTGTTGCAGTGCTGTTATCACAAACACATTTAAAGCACCGTGTCCGTATCACAGGACCCACAAAGGCGGGAGTAGTCTCACGGCACCTGAACCCCATTATTTTCCCTCTGCCTAGCCCTCTGCAATGCTAAAGCCCTAAATGAAGCAAGTCTAGATTTTCTCAGGTTCACTTGGGCTCCTTTTCAATTTAAAAGGAATTGATTGTTTCTGTTAAACTTATTATATATTCAGAGACTAAGCGTTAGTCTGGGGCGAGAGCTGGTGCCTGGAAATAATATCTAAGTCTGGGTGGAATTGCAACCCGCCAACTTCCACAATCACTTGCCCACCTGCTTCTCAGGGCATATAGCATTGCACTCCAGTCACACGAAACGACCAGTGGTGCGCTTCTTCGCCATGTTCGTCCCACAGGGCAGCCACTTCACGCCTGAAGTCGTCGATTCACGTCGGATACATTTACAACCACCGCCATAATGGCATCAAGTTGTTGCTATCTCCCCAATATTATAACATTTACGACAGAAGTGCCTCAACTCACAGCCACCAGTGACATCAGCTATCTTTGTGCCTGTGTGGGGAATGTCTCGAGGCTCGTGATTAAACAGACTACATGGAAGCAAATTAATATACAAAACATAAATATGAATCATACGTATCGATGTAAGTGATTAAGGGTAATGCACCGAAGGTAGAATTATCCATAACCTATCATTTTAGTGGTGATACGTTGTGAAGGTACTTTTTCGTTTCACGTAAGGTCGGAAACAATGGTGGTGGAACAGCCCGAAAGTAAGCTCGCGTTCTAGGATATCAATTTACAGCAGCTCTGTTACATATTTGATATGTAACAAATCTGTAATTAAACCCAGCATAAGTCTCAAATTCGGCATCTTACAAAATATAAAAGTTTGTTCCATATCCATGTTTAGTGGGGAAAAGTATCCCTCAGCCCTGAAACATTAAAACACGAAAGCCCGGCCACGCATGCATCCTCTTGCTTTACCTTAAAAGGCCAAGGCCACACTGTACGTTATTACTACACACGTGGGAGAAGAACGAACTATATTTCTTAAACTATCACCATTGTTACAATATATCGTGGCGTTACCGTTACTCAATGGCTGTAGGATGAGTATGAGGTTTATACACTGTAAACTTGACGTCTTCGTAACGGAAAGTCATAAAAAGACGAAAGGAAAACGTGTTCTGTTTCTTGCCTATATCACACAAATTAGATGTTCCTGGAAACCGCTGTCGCAGTGTAAAAGCAAAAAAACATACTTAACTTTGGCCATGGGTATACTGAATACAGCTACAACATACTGTGTACAGCTGACATACCGTGTATAACTGTCACACCGTGTTATAACTGTCACACCGTGTTATAACTGATATATATGTCGGGTACAACTGGCATAAGATATGAAGCAATACCACCATAGCCGCTATCACAACCAGATCTACGCCTACATTGTGTACAGGACGTGCAGTATTTGAAGATGAGGTATCTTTAATTCCTGATTGGCATTCTATACAACAGTCTCTTTCATTCCTAGGATTGAAATGTCATACGAAAATGCTGTTTAATTCGTGACTGGCATCATATGAATACGTCGTCTCCTTAGTATGTGAAGAGGCATCTCTGTCATTCTTCTGGGTTAACTCCAAAGGTTTGCACAAGGTTGGTTTAATTCAGATCTAAGGATTACTTATCGCTTCTTCATATACTATCATGGCTTGCATGTGCCATAAGAAAGATAACGTCTATTTAATTTGTTATAGGATACACTGTGGACAAAGAAATATAGGCCTCTATTCTATCACGCCAGTTCCATCCTTCTGACAAGGAGAAAATCCCTCGAGGCGTTAAGCCAAAGCTAATGAAGCCTGGTGTCCGCTGAGAAGGAATGACTAGTTGTTTTAGTATCCATGGAGGACCCCATCTCGCCGCCAATAGTGCGCTCAGTCATCCGTTCTGACAAAGCAGCGAGTAGTAAGTCAGTCTTGTAACGAAGTTAATTATACGCCCGAACCTCGTCACCAGAAAAATGTGTTAGTTTACGAATGCCTATCTGAAGACACTGCCTAACGTCCCGAGACAAGGGAGCTAAGTAACTCAACATCCTTAATTGACCGTTCACCGGACACTAATCCACCTTACACCACCAAGTTAGAGGCATTCGATAATACAAATGCTAGCAGGTTCATTATAGACGTGTGGTTGGTGTAATTACAACTTGAGTATATCAGGGACCGTTAAACGCCAAACCTATGTACAGCAGAAATATGGCTAAACTTCAAGGAGCGTCATGATGGAGAACGCCAACCTTCCCATAACACAGCAACGGCAACCTTCACAACAACCTTAGCACAACGGCAGCACAACAACGGCGGTAACCTTCACAGCATAGCACAAGCACAACGGCAACCTTAGCACAGCACAACAACGTCGTCCTTCACATAGAGCAACAACGGCAACCTTCATATAGCACAACAACGGCAACCTTCACATAGCAGCAACAACGGCAACCTTCATAGAGCAGCACACCAACGTCAACCTTCACATAGCACAAACAACGGCAACCTTCATATAACACATAGCAACAACAACAACCTTAGCAACCTTCACACAGCACAACAACGGCAACCTTAGCATAGCACAACAACAACAACACACCAGCGTCAACCTTCAACACATAGCACAACCAACGTCAACCTTCACAGCACAACAACGGCAACCTTCATATAGCACACCAACGTCAACCTTCACATAGCACAACAACGGCAACCTTCATATAGCACACCAACGTCAACCTTCACATAGCACAACAACGACAACCTTCACATAGCACAACAACGGCAACCTTCACATAGCACAACAACGACAACCTTAGCATAGCACAACAACGGCAACCTTCACATAGCACAACAACGGCAACCTTCACATAGCACAACAACGGCAACCTTCACATAGCACAACAACGGCAACCTTCACATAGCACAACAACGGCAACCTTCACATAGCACAACAACGGCAACCTTAGCATAGCACAACAACGACAACCTTCACATAGCACAACAACGGCAACCTTCACATAGCACAACAACGGCAACCTTCACATAGCACAACAACGGCAACCTTCACATAGCACAACAACGGCAACCTTAGCATAGCACAACAACGGCAACCTTCACATAGAGCAACAACGGCAACCTTCACATAGCACAACAACGGCAACCTTCACATAGCACAACAACGGCAACCTTCACATAGCACAACAACGGCAACCTTAGCATAGCACAACAACGGCAACCTTAGCATAGCACAACAACGGCAACCTTC